TAACAATTTTGTTGATTTTCTTTGCGCTCCGCTTGGAAGTACCGGAAAGTTTTGATTCTTTTCTATGTTGTAAAAATAAACCGCCTATTTACATTTCTGACAAGTTGCAACTGAATGCTTATAATTGTTTTAAAATAACTGTTTCATGGCCAACTAGTTTTATTGCGCTTACTTATAAAGCAATAAAAGGATTTATTTTTGGGATTTATAAGGGTAATTCATATTGCTTTTTTTTATACTTCAAAGCAATCATAAAACCTTTCATAAGTGAAAATAGCATAAGCATCAGTTGGTTTTTTCATTAGCTTTATAGGGGTTGTGTAGATAGCTATAAGATGTTTCATAACTTGCATTGTATATGACCGTCATAAAGCAGTAGGTTATGGTTGCAGCTGCAATAAAACCTTTATAAATTTTGAATATAGCCAAGCAGCTCTAGATTTGTTACTTGGGATTCTATTAGGGTTAAGATCTTATTTCTATCATACTGAGCACAACCCGCACTTTACCTTTCTTTTTTCCACACGTACCGTTAGATTTTAATAAAGAGTCACAAATCTTTGCTTCTTGATTGTAATTCCGTCACGAATTTCCATTCCGTCCAAACACATTAAAACGTCATTGGATTCACTTCAGCATAAGGATGAAGGCAGAACACTTTTGTTTTCGAGAAGAATGTGCCACTGAACCGAGAACATCGGGAGAACCGGGAATTAACCGGGAAATAACCGGGAATCTGATTGGATCTTTACCATATCATTTTTATTAATAATTTGTTTGGTATTTTAATTATTTCTTTTAGTATAGTTCCTAAAATCTTGGTCATTTTTCTAAGACTATTGGTCTTATTTGGGAAGTCGAAATTAAACGTTTTTCGTTTGACGGCTTGTATGAAAAATTATTGGTTATACTTAATCTCGAAATCTAAAAATTAACTAAATTACTTCTTAAACTTATCTCAGGATATATTTGAAAATTTCTTTGGATTAACTTAGGATGATTACAAAATGTCGTCAGAATTACTTTTACTTTCAAGATTCTCCTCAATAATCTTATGATTCTGTCCGGTATTCCCTATAAATTGCCTCTATAAAAATCGTAATTCTGTTCAGAACACTACATGGATCTATTTATCTTTTTATTTATAAAATTCTCGCGAGAATTTGCTTTATTTTCTCTCCATTATGTTCTTCACAATTCGCTTGGAATATTCCTGGAAATCACTTGGTATGCCATTTAGAATTTAGAACAGTATTACCCAAAAACACCCTTGTATTTCAACTCAGAATTTCATTTTTTTTTTCAATTTCATAGTAATTTTCCTCATAATGTATTTGAAATGGTTTCTAAAATGCTCTTCAGAAGGATCTCTTGAAACTCTCCTTAGCATTTTCTTCAGAATCCCGTGGAACACCACTCAGAGATTCTATGCTAAAAAAAAAGAAATATGCTAAAAATGTCCTGCCAAACCCTTCCAAACTTTTTTTTTTATATTTCTTCAAATTTGTTATGAATCCTTTTAGAAATTATTTTAAAACTATCTTCAAACTAGCTTAAAATTCTGCCAAGAACTTGTTGTGCTATTTATGAATAACATTCCCTTGGAATTATTATCCATGTTTCCTTGTAGCTCACTTTAGAATTTCTCTTTGATTAATTGATAAATAGACATGTGCAACAATTCGACCTAGTGCCCTCCGAATAATTTACACTTAACTTGGATAAATTTCAGAATTCAATATTAAACAATATTTCAAATTCTCCGACAAATTTTCTAAATTATGGTAATGATAAAACTTAAAAAAAAATCAAAAAAATTACTTTGTTCCCCAATAGAACGGGAGAAAGGTTTCTTCGGTTTTCTGCATTTAAAATAAAACAGCAATTTATAAAATAACGAACATTTTGGATGGCTCGAGTTTACTTGTCTTTGATACAAAAAAAAAACACGTCTACTGAGGATTCATATTTCTAAAAAAGTCATCTATCAATGAAACAGTCATCGGTCGTCATTGAAAAGCAATGCAACTATGTTCTGTCAATCTAATTGAAACTTTTATTGGCTCTGTTGTCTTGGTGAATTTTAGCTATAACGGCCTCTTTTCTGATTTTTATCTCTCAATCTATGGAATCTACACGAGAACTATGTATGACCGAAATTTCTAGAACAGTTTGAGGAACATTATACTGTAGACTACACATTTTGATATCATATGGGTGGAAAGTTCGTAGAACAAATACTTTAAAATTCTTCATTTTTTAAGATATCTTCGAGCATGAAACTAAGTCAAACTTTAATAAAACCACTTTGAATAGTCAATCTTTGGTCACAAAGTTGGTAGATAACACATTAAGCTTAGCTATGAAAGTTGTTACAGCAGTTTCCGTTGTTTCAGTCTAGAGATACAAATATTATAAGCCGTAAATTACCTTAAAAACATAAAATTAACTTGAACCACCTCTAAACCATCACCGATTTTGCTGAAAATTTGCACAGATGTTCAAATTAACATGACAAACAGTAATCTCGGTTGACCCGTTGCATTCCGAACATTTCTGTTAAAATAAACATGTCTACCCTATATGTATGTTTGCTACATCAATCATCAACTTATTTCAGATTCCCGAAACTCGTCTCCTGTCATAACTATCTGTAAACTGAGCATGAGCATGAGCATGATTGACCGCCCACGGTTGCTACTCTATTATTGCCAGACCAGCTGTAATTACACAGAGAACCAATAGACGATGCATGGGACTAGCAATCATCCTCAATGTGTAAAAACTGGTGATCTCGAATTAGGCAATACCAGTGCCAGCTGCGCCTGAACGCAGGTCAAGAAAGGAATGGGTAAGAATGTGTTGACGTGGCACTCGCTTTGATGGAAGCCGAGGAGTCCTCTGCACTTCCACGAGAAATCACAGGGATGTTGGGTAAGAGGGTTGGGTTAGCAGCAGGGTTCGTTTTGGTAAACGATAAGCTGAATTGATGTCCTAACGATCGTATAACACGAATGAGCTTGGGATTGAACCCACGGTCTTCTGCTCAGTAAGCAAAAACGTTTGCCACTAGGCAGACGAGCTCCTTTTTAATCATTGACGAATCTTGAATGTGGATGGGCTTGAGTTAGACTCATGATGTTCTGCTCAGTAAGCAAAAACGGTTGCTCCAAGGCCACCGAGCCTCTCATATCACATTATAGCGTTACTCAAGTTTTTATAACCCGGCACTGACGACAACGAAAAGTTTTACAAAATACACGATAAACAAGCGATATTTTAATATTGTTAATATGGAAGGATCTGGGACCGCGTTTTTCTGCTCAGTAAGCAAGCCACTGCAACCGACGATCTTTGAAATCCTTGAACTAAAAGCTACGAAAGAGTACTTCATTAAGATACACTTTCACGCGACGTTCAATGTTTCGATTTTCTCTTTACGCATGGTTCAGACAATCATAACAAGTTTTGACCGACGTGACGATTGTTTAAGACCTGGTTAAACAAGCTATTCAAATGAAATTACGTTCTCGAATTTCACTTGGAATGTAATGAACAACAGAAATACGCGATAATTCATATTTTCAGCGGTTGATGTTTAATTTTAAATATACTAATGGTACTGCCTACGACTACGACGGTGATTACGACAGTGACTACGACGGCGCCTACGACAACGACAACAGAGAATTTGGAACTTACCATTTGTCTGGGATAAACACCTTTGCCCGGCACCTCCACTGGTTCTTCATGTCCGCTATCTGTCACTGTTTGCAAAATATCTAATAGCAATTACCTTTGTTGTGATACTTCCTGTATTGCGATGGTGATCTGGGAAAATCTTGAAAAATACCGGAATTTCAAAAAGGAAATTCAGTGTCCACCCTGCCATTGGCTGGTTCACCTCTTTTACTGAATCTTGTTCCTTTTTCCATATAATTTTCCAGCAAACCAATATCGTATACAAATTCGTTCAAAGTTGACACATTTGTACAGATCGAAAGATCTGTAGGGAGCAGGGGATTTATAAGCTGGCCCACACTAATGTATATACTTACATAGCTGTGAACATTTTACCTAAAATCAATGAACCGAGAAATCGGGAAAACCGCAAAAAACTCAGAAATTAGAAATCACCGGAAAAATACCGAGAAAAACTCGTGAATTTCGATAGCAAATCGGAAAAAAAATACTTCATCTTTAACAAAAAATATATATTGGTACTTCTAAACAATTTAAAGATTCTTGAACTAGACTAGTTTTTCAGTATACAGTCACATTGAAGAACTTTAATAGGCTAAATGTCTGCTTCGGCACCCATTGACTGTTTTCGGCAACCACAATTTAAACGTTCACTGTATTTTCCCATCAAGACGCTTTGCTGAATGTATTTACACGATTCCTTAGTCTTTCAGCTTCAATGTGATCACATTTTTACGACCGATTTCCGGTTAATTTTCTCTAGAAAAACTCCAAGCTTGGAATGGTGTCTCGGGGACTGAAGCCGTTCTTCACCCTACCTATTCTGCGATCTGCAAGTTGACAGATGTGTGTGCGATTTTCCTCTATTGCCATCATCGTATAAACGATAAACTGGGCTCTTAATTTGTGGATCGAAATCAGTCAGAAACAAACCAAGTTAATTCCATCGTAAAAGATTTATTGACATTGTGTTACACCATGTTCTCATATTATTATCGTGTTTTACTACCCAACTGCGCAATCCGTTAATTTTAAAATCAGCATGAATAGATAAATTTTCAACAGCAAACTAAAGCAATCCTTTAATGATTTATAGAAAGTGTCTCTTTCTGCACATAGCGCAAGCCTACGTGCATCGTACTCTGTTTAAATATTCTGTTACCAAGCCATGCATCCATGCACAACGAACCAAGCGAACGGAAGGCGCGTGAATGGAATAATTTATCATGACCAAGTGAACTTTTACCCACATATTAATGTCGTGCCTTATTGTTTTCTCTCTCTACTCACGTTTGCAGGGAATCGGAACGCTACAAGAAAGTACTATGGCAAGATGTGCGTGTGGGCGACCTGGTGCATCTATCGAACAACGAGACTGTCCCGGCAGATATTTTGCTGCTAAAATCAAGCGATCCTCACGGGGTCTGCTACATCGACACCTGCGATCTGGACGGAGAAACGAACCTCAAAAGGCGACAGGTAAGTAAAGGATCTTGGGGTGATGACTGGAATAGTTTCTCATTTTGCATTATTATTTTTGCTACATAGGTGATACGAGGTTTTGCCGAGAAGCAGCACATTTTTACGGCCAGCAAGTTTACGAGCCGTGTCGAAGTAGACACACCATCGACGAAAATCTACCGGTTTCATGGAGCTGTGATACACCCATCGGGTGAACGGGTACCGGTGTCCACCGAGAGTCTATTGCTGAGAGAGAGTCGACTTAAGGTACATTCAATATTCATTGCGGTGAAGAATAAATTGGTTGATTGGTTGATTGCACTCGATTGATTTAATTGCAGAACACGGACTACGCCGAGGGAATCGTGGTCTACGCCGGACATGAAACGAAAGCAATGCTAAACAATAGTGGCCCTCGGTACAAGCGGTCTCAAATCGAGCAGCAGATGAACATCGATGTCATATGGTAAGCTCTGTGGGTTGCCGGACAATTGACGTCAAATCGCATTTACAGAAAATCGAATACCAGGCTAAATATCACACATGTCTAAATAGATTTATTCTGAGATGGCCTCTTTCGTATATACGTTAAATACCTCACTATTAACTTCATAGCTCGTTATCGATTCAGCGAGAAATTTAAAAAAAAATCTCATATTGGTATTCTAGAAATATGCAAATTTCAGAAAGTTGGATTTTTTACAACAATTAAGAATGTCCCTTTCGTATAACTTTCGATTGAGGAGCTGAGTAATTGAGCTATGCGATTTGTATGCGAATGTAACCTCAAACAATATGTACCCCAATAATCTTATTGCAATCATCCTCAAGGTGCGTGATCATTCTCATCATCCTGTGTGTGATTGGTGCCATCGGATGTAAGATGTGGCTCGCATCGTTCGTGGCTGCCAGTGGGAACAACAACGAAACATATCGTATTCCATATCTTCCCTTTGAGATCAATCCGGACTACGAGGGGTTGTTGGCGTTTTGGACGTTTGTCATTATTCTGCAAATCATGATACCGCTGTCGTTGTACGTGACGATAGAACTGTGTAAAATTATGCAGGTGTATCACATACACAATAGCATAGAATTGTACGATCAGCAAACGAATAAGCGAACCGAATGTCGAGCAATGAACATCACCGAGGAGCTTGGTCAGATCCAGTATGTATTTTCGGATAAAACTGGAACATTAACAGAGAACCGGATGATCTTTCGGAGGTGTACAATCGTAGGGGTGGACTACAATCATCCCGAGACGGAGGAAGAGAAAGAACTGACCAAAATCGGAGGTCCCGTGCCGTACCTTCAGCCAAATATTAGTTTAGTAGAGAATTTAAATCAGATTAGCGATTCTGATCAGCTTAGCGGTAGTGCGCAACAGATACAGGAGTTCTTTCTTGTGCTGGCCATTTGTAATACGGTGGTTGTAAGTGCTACTCCACACAAGGATCTAATGAACGCCAGTGGTGTGATCGAACTGAATGATAGTGATACTAGTGTAACGCTGGTCCGACCAGTGCTAACCGATGCAATAGCAAACGGAACTGATCCCGCTAGTGATAGGTACGCGCGGTTGACTGAATCGCGATCAATCACGCCTTCACCCCCTCCGAGTGCTCCTTCGTCACTGCCGTTGAAACAAACCCATGTGCCATCGCTGTCGCCCATTAGCAGCTCAGCGGAAACATCCCCCATGTCGGAAAGTCCTCCGATGAAGCTTAAAGCAATTACGCCCACGGCGCGAGTGAAATCCCTAGTAGCCAAGCTACCGAAAGGTCCATTCAAGTCTAATAATAAGAACAAGTTCAACATGAATAGCGTTAAGTTTCCCAAGTCCCTCTCCCAGGGTTCGACCCCAAGTGACCGACGACCGATCTTCGAGGCTGAAAGTCCTGACGAATTGGCGCTGGTCAATGCTGCGTACAGCTACGATTGCTGTCTGATCAATCGTAGTCCCAATCACGTTTTAGTGAATGTCCCAGGAGAGGGTGTCATGGAGTACGAGGTTCTCAAAATTCTACCCTTCGATTCGAACCGCAAATGTATGTCTGTAGTTGTCCGCAAGACTGGAACCCAAGAGGTTGTCCTCTACACAAAAGGTGCCGACAGTTCGATCATGTCTAGTCTTGCCCCGTGTGCTCCTGGATCGGAAGAATATCGCCTGCGAGAGCAGACGCAGCATCAACTGAATCTGTATGCACGTCAAGGTCTACGTGTGCTAGTAATGGCAAAACGAAAACTAAATGCAACGGACTTTTCCGAGTGGTACACGCAGCATCAAGAGTGCGAACTGAGCATGGAGAATCGCGAGAAAAAGATCAGAGAATCATTCAGTCTCCTGGAGCGAAACCTCACGCTGCTGGGGACAACCGGTATTGAAGATCGTCTCCAGGAAGGTGTCCCGGAAGCAATTGCTTCCATTCTGCAATCTGGTATTGTGATTTGGGTACTGACCGGGGACAAAACCGAAACGGCGATCAACGTTGCGTACTCTGCGAGATTGTTCAACGCTCAGATGGACATTCTCCGGTTAACTGCGCGATCGCGTGATTCTGCTGAAGCTTGCATAAATTTTTACCTGAATGAGATCGAAAAACAGCTGAACGATGCGGATTTCTCGATCCGAAGTGATCGCGAAAAAGGGCGTGCGTTGGTCGTGGATGGCAAGACGTTGACTTTTATCCTGGATCTGCGGTCGAACTTGACGAAACCATTCCTTAGGCTGACGAAGTACTGCTCATCGGTTCTATGCTGTAGAGCTACACCCTTGCAGAAAGCGTTCCTGGTGAAGGTGGTGAAGGAGGAACTCCGAATGAGCACGCTGGCGATTGGTGATGGGGCAAATGATGTTTCAATGATTCAGGTTTGTATTGATTACTTGGTAGTGCATGAATGATGTTTACCAATGACAGTTTCATTTTCTATCCATTAGATGGCCGATGTTGGAGTCGGAATTTGCGGTCAGGAAGGTATGCAAGCTGTAATGGCGTCGGATTTTACGATAGCAAAGTTTCGAATTTTGGAAAAGCTTCTGCTGGTTCACGGTCACTGGAATTACGACCGACTGGCTCGGATGATCATTTACTTCTTCTACAAAAATGCGGTGAGTACAACAGGATCCTTCCAAAATGTAGTTCATACTTGCAGAATTGATGCTATTGTTAGCGGACACTCGAAGAATGTTGGAAAATGCTCTAAATTAGTTACCAGATTTTGAAAGTCACTTGATTTGAGGGAAAATTTTAAAAGAAATAATCTCGGTACATGCATCCATGTTAATTGTTTCTTTAAAGAGATGAACTAGCCTTAGGCTAAAAATTTCTAAAATAAAGATAAAAAAAAAAAATGTTACTTTGAGAGGTAAGACGCCCGCTGGTGAAAAAACTGTTCGGTGTCGTGTGTTGTGAAACTGACGTTGTCAGGCTGATTTTTAAACACCAGTAGTGAGCGCTTGGCCTTGATCTTTGATGGGAGTACTTATCTTGAGGCCACCCTACTGGGCATTACGATCACTCAAGGTGCTGTCTTTGAGGGGCCTTGCTTTTAAGCAACACTGGATAAAGTCGTCTGGTTTTCCAGTTTATAGGTTTGGTACGCCTTAACTCTCCTAAAAAATAGCCGAAATACGTTAAATCCATTTTGATATATAATTGATAATAATATCACTATTTCGAAGCAGTTTTGGAAGGGGTCGTGCTTCTGATGAATGGCGATTTACCATTGTGCTTTCTCCGTAGTCCGCTATTTCTTTTGTTCTTCATTCTTCATTCCTTTATTTAACGTCGGTCTCTGTTCCGCAATCTAGTGCCAATCACCAACGGACATCGATTGCCATCCATTGACGGCAATCGAATGTGCAGGAAGGCAGCTTCCACACCTGCGTAGGATATCGCACCCATTCAACAAACATGGGCCGGGACCAACGGCTTTACTTCCCTTCCGAGATTTTTATGCCTCAGAAAACTCCCACCGACCTCGGCTGGGATTAAACCCAGACCCATTGGGGTGTTAGAAAGCAGTAACGCTTACCACTACACCACCGGCGCCGGCATTTCTTTTGTTGATCTCAGCTTTTTCGTCGTCCCTTTACCGATCTCTCTCCGTCCAGTCCATGAGCCCTATCTAGTAGTAGTAATACGTAAAGCATTATTCAGATGCTTGAAAGTAAGTGGCTATTGTTTCTTCACCGGGGGTTTGCGAGGTATTTTTTATTTATTTTCACCATCTCTTCCTTGAGCATCTCTATTTATTCCAACGATGCATCATATGGTTGCATGTGCCTCACATGGTGATGTCAGTAGCTCTTTCTCAATATTCTACTTTATCAATTTTTGATTTACCATCTCTAAAAATGAATCGACAAATAGCTTACACATGTCTTTTTGTAATGGGTCTGATTGGGATTCGATCCTGGACTTGGTGTGCTGCTGCCGTTGTCTTATCGTTCGATCTAACTGGGCCACGGTTCTAAGGCTGGTTGATCTTCTTCTTCTTCATTCATTTATTTAACGTCAGTCTCTGTTCCGCAATCTTAGTGCCAATCACCGACGGACATCGATTGTCATCCATTGACGGCAATCGAATGTGCGGTAAGGCAGCTTCCACACTTGCGTAGGATATCGCACCCATTTAACACACATAGGCCGGGACCAACGACTTTACTTCCCTTCCGAAGGAAGACGTGACTAGAGATTTTTATGCCCCAGAAAAATCCCACCGACCTCGGATGGGATTGAACCCAGACCCATTGGGGTGAGAAAGCAGTCAAGCTTACCACTACACCACCGGCGCCGGCAGGCTGGTTGATAAGGATGAAGTCACAACACTTGTTTTCAATGTTTACTTTGCAGAACAAGCAATTCACATCGCATTTAAATGCAAAAGACCCAAATCCATCTGTTTGAACAGTAGTGTGATTCAATGTATACAATGTAAACAATGTATACAATGTATACACTTGAACTGAAAGTGAAATTTATCAAGTCAACTATTGTAAAACGGTCTACACCGATTGACAACAAACAAATAAATCAAATAAATAAATATGAAAGATTTTCAACATTTAAAACTAGATTTAACACTAACCTGCACAATCAGTTTCTAGCCACATGAGTTCAAATTTTGACAGGCTAATCATGACTAATAATGTATATCGATCTGATCTTTGTCCTGTTTTTGTTGATCTGGCTTTGTCCGGGTCTTCTGCTTGCGATACGAATTCATTCGGTGTCACACCAGCTTGCATTTAAAGCACTTGTTTTTAATATCGGATCGGATTACTTTATTCTTAAGTTGAAATTTTTCCTTCATTAAAATTCTATGCTCGGTTAAAGTGACAACATGCAATTTTTCCGGTACCACGCCCTGAAAGAGAGACGTTACTTCTCCTATCCATTTCACTCCACTTCAGCATCACAGTTACATTTTATACTCAACCTTTATATCTGTTTCTTTACACTGTGTTTGTCTATCCTTAACTTCCTCTCAAAACTCTCTGGGCTTTCTAAAGTCACCTAAACTTTTTATCCAAGTGTCGTGAAGTACTCAAATCATTTCCGATAAATCCTTATCTTTTTTCCTAACGTCTCTGCAAGTGGTTTTTAATAATGGGTTACCTGTGGTCTCGTTACGCAAATCGAAATGAAGCACTTTTTTTGTATGAACGCTTGTATGAAAGAGTTTGCCGTTTCAACTTGCAAAATGAGGCGTAAATCGTTAAAATTTTCGATATTGGAATGGATTGGAATGGATTCAAGAACATTAGAGGATGAATTGGTGAACTTTGAATGCATATATTCCTGGAAGTTGCACCGGAGTTGTTACAATACGCTCATAAAAATGTATTGACTGTGATCCAGCTAATAGTTTGTAATGAACTATTCCATGATGAATGGAAAAACTGCGTTTGGTTGTACATTACCTACCTCAAAAAGTCCTTTCATGTACAAGTCCAGATCCATCCGAACTATCTACAAATATTCAAAACTCAGAAAAACATCTTGAAATTCAACCAATTTTCCCTTGATCTATTCTAACTCATCTAGTTACGCATTCCACTTGTTAGAGATGGATTGCTCTCGTCTAAGTTGATAAAGCTTCTTTGATTGACATTTATCAAACATTTTCTGAACCTCCCTAAAGATTCCACGAGCTTTCCCATTTTTAACCCTAAGCTCTCTGAACATTCCCCTTATGGTTTTCGAATTCGACGTTGTCTATACATATCCACGTTCCTTATCTTTTCACTGAAGTTATCTTACCTTCTCTTAGATATTACTCGAATCTCCAGTAGATTTGTTTAACTATAATTAAGCTATAGCACTTAAGTAGCATCCCTTACTTGGGTCCTAGATAACATTTTTTTTTTGTTCCATCTCCAGGCGTTCGTGTTCCTACTGTTCTGGTATCAACTCTACTGTGGTTTCTCCGGTGCCGTCATGATTGACGAAATCTACCTGATGATCTACAATCTCATCTTCACTGCCCTGCCTCCTCTTGCCATCGGTGTCTACGATAAGAAGATAATCGACGATTTACTGCTCAACTATCCACGTCTTTATCGGCATGTAAGTAGCACTGGCTAAACCAACATCCCTCCAGGATACTAAGCAAAATTACATTCTTTACATTAGGGCCGTCTGGGGAAGGGTTATAAACCCTACACCTTCTGGATTGTCATGCTTGATGCGCTCTATCAAAGTCTGGTAATATTCTTCGTCACTAAAGCTGCCTTCTGGGACTCGGATGTAGACGTGTGGGTATTCGGTACAACCATAACGTCGTCCTGTCTGTTCGCGATGCTGCTACATTGTGCCATAGAAATCAAATCATGGGTAAGTGGGCAGTGGTGATTGATTGATGGGTGGTAGAATAACTGTAGTTATTGTTCGGTTTATTTTTCTTTCTTTTTTCGCAGACAATCCTCCACGTATTATCAATCGTAATTAGTATAGGTTCGTTCTACGTTTTTGCCTTCGCGTACAACACCGTATGTGTGAGCTGCTTCGGACTACCTTCCAACTACTGGGTGATCCACATGAGCATGAGTACAGTACAGTATTATCTGATTACTGCCTTGACGGCAGTTCTTGCCTTGTTGCCTCGGTAGGTTATAGGATATTTTAAAGTGAAATATTATCAATCCAACCAATAACCCCGCGGCTCCTTTTCAGCTTCATATACCGCGTAGTGGAGAACACCGTATGGCCGGGTGAAGGCGTCCGCGTTACGCTACAGTACAAAGAAGAAAAACGAAGAGGTGAGAATCTGCTGGTGACCTGGTCCCGGTCCACGTCCGCCTCGTCTATATTCAGGTATTTAACGACGACAACAACAACCACGACCACCACCACTATGACCACTACCACGACGTCCTCCTCTAGCAAGAACCCGGGCTCAAAGGGAAGCACATTGAAGGCGCGCAAAAAGCTAAACGCCGCAGTCGGCATTCTGGAGCGTAACAATCCCCAGGAACGGTTCGGCTATTAACGGCACCATACTAGGCTCGTGCGCTTGAAGTGCTTGAAGATGAAGATTGCTTGTGGTTCGTTTGTACTTGCCATCAAGGATCAACGGTAACGTTACGCTAGAAAATTTTCCGACATGTTTACCTACTATTTGTGTGCAAGTTTGCCTTGGAATGGTATTTTTTTTCCCGGTTCTGGATATTTTTTTATAGGTTTGATTTATCTAAATGCACAGATTTCCTTGTACAGCATTTATACACGCAAGTTTTATCCTGTTTGAATTGTTGTTTTACTGTATGATTTGTTTGTAGCTGCTATTTGAAAAGTGCACATTATGGTATCAAAGAGAGAAGGCATTGTTTAAATGGTAAGTCACATAAATATATAAAGGAGAGGCACATGCTTTTGAGTAAAAACATATTACCGACAGACAATTCGGAGGAAATTATTAAAGAACTCTTTGAGATCTTCAAAAATAATTCCATGTGGGAAAACGGGAGATCCAGAAGTTTTTTTTTAGGATTTCTTATAGATTTGAGAGTTGAAATCCTTTGAGTTACACAAAAGTTGTATGAGCATGAAAATATTCAAAACAATCCTTGTTCGATTCTGAACGTATGAGATATTTGGAAGGAATTACGGTATAAGCTAAAATAATCCAAGCAAGTTCCATGACGAATTTTGATGTAATTTTATTGTGTTAAGCTCAAACCGTATTTTCCATACAAAAATATCTTTTTTATGTATAAAAAAATACGGTAAACGAGAATATGGGTGCATAATATTCATACAGATTTGTATGGAAATAATAGGTCCGTTTCTGTGCTTGCTTTTTTTTATTTTTGCTGTAAGTTGCTGCAGCTTTCTGTAAGTTGGTGTATGCAAATAATATACTGCAGAACCGGGTGGCACAAGGTACTTTTGAATATTTTGGAATCGTAAACTAGATTCGGAGATGTAAATGTCATGAAACTAAATGCGGTCTGAAATGAATAAAACCCGTCAGTTGACACATCAAATGACATGAGAATTCAAAAACAAGTTCAATGGTAGTCATAATTAGAGCACAGCGCTATACTGGCCACATTCGGCCATATTCCGGGAACCCCATGCCCCAGTCTCTAGCTAAGGGTTTAAAGCAGATGATAATTCATCGTATGAGCACTTTAGAATTTCTGTTAGTAAGTAAGGGTAAGTTTTGAGCATTGGAGGATTAAGATACGTTCTCTATAAAATCGTGGATAGGACAAAGCTTTGACTGTCCAGGTATTTTTGTGCGTAGGACATGTCCAACCCAGTACGGGTGCAGACCTGATTACTACCACTCACAGTGCCTGTATCGACCATGGGGAACGCCGTTTGAACAAGATCAGAAAAACACAGATTTTGGGAACTAACTGTTGCGTCAAATAAAATGTATCATTGTTCCATAGAATTCTATTGATAAATCAGATATATGTCCGGAACAAGTTCCGGTTAATAAAGATTTAAGGAAATAAGTTGACAATCACTGAGCTGAGTTGGACGCAACAACCACCAAATGAAAGGTGCTTTGATCCCATACCATGCCAATTAGGCTAAGGCCTTGATATCCTATACTGTCTGAAGAAATTGTCTCCACTCTACTCGATCTCAATCCATGGCCACACGTCGCCAGCTTCGTTGTCTGCAAAGGGTCCGCATGATCTATGCTTGGATCCCATAGAATTATTTTGGATATCTTTGGAATCGATCAACCTAATCCGGAGATATGGTCGGACCATGTTCCGGTTGGTATGGACCATGAGACTAAATCCGACTTGAAACGAATAAAATCCATCGCGTGACACCTCAAATCAAATGAGAATTCAAAACCCAATTCAATATTAGTCATTGTTTGTGCCCAGATCTACAATTAACACGTCTGGACATGTTCCGGTACCCCCGGAGAAGTAACTAATTTCTGAATATCAGTGCCAACATTTCAAAGGGGCGTAATTGTATTTGTCAACAATGGCTATAGCCGTCGATTTCTCGCTTATTTTGCGCCAACATTTTTCTCAGTGTGCCTCAATTGTGCCGCGCTGTACTAAGAGTGCCATGTCATCGAACTGATTTTTGTGTGTGTGAATAATTGTATTAGAGCTTTTGTAAACAATGACTTCTCTCGATGATTTCTAGAAAGACAAGGCTCGCCCACTCAAATCAACTTTACCATCGGGTAGGGGAAGACTTCTTTTTCCCGTTAGTTGGAGCCACTGGAAGCGGAATGGATGACGCAGGAAATCAATTCGTCATAGTTCAATTTTCCCAAAATCGTCCCCTGCTAAGGTAACCGTACGAAATAAATCCGTAGAAGTGATACGTAGATGCAAATATCTGCTCCAGCCAGACAGACGGGGCTGTCCACACACAGGTCAACAATCAAATTTTGACACATCCGCACTCGCATGCGCAGAAATAAAGCAGTGCTGCCAGTTACTCTAGAGACCACAAAAAATATGTACCGTGGGTGTCAAATGAGTGAGCTATTGTATGCCCTACTGTGTTTTTGGCTTACTGTGCTGAGTGACCTACCCCTCGAATTCCTGGTCATCTGATATGATGAGAAAATATCTGTGCACTGAGGCAAAATAACTTAAAAATTCCATAAGAAACACTTATGAATTTTAGCCACATGAAATTGATTTGCCTTATGAAAAAAAAGGTTAATAAAAAAATAATAAATCGGAGTAGACAGTAACCGAACCATGCACGTTGGTTATACGGGGCCCGTGTGTTGTCAACTCGTCTTTCAACGCTTGGAAAAATGTAATGGTTAAAGGCGTATAAGAGCTACCTCATGTTACCCGAAAATCATTCATTAGTCACGTTTATATAATTCATATGTGTTGTTCATAAGCCGAGCCTTATTAAATTCTTAAGTCTATTTGCCTCAGTGTAGAACTTCGTTTGAATTTTTTATCAGTTGCAGCATTTTTCACATTCGTTTATTTAGAAGGCACCTTTACGGGAGCTTCACGGAGCTGATAATTTGTTTTGTTACAAATTTTGCTAAATGAACGTCTAGAAGGGATGGCACCGGTTACTCGTGGTTGTTATACCTGATCATCCTGATATGATTAGAAAGTAGCTGAAAAACGGAATGTCTTCAGAATAACTAATATGATGAGGGAATATCTGAAGGGTTAACCTAAACTTTTTTTTATCAGATGTTAGTCTTCAGAAAAATGTCTGATCAGATAAGAGAATATTGGAAGCAGGCTTGCAATTGCTCATTACAGCTAAAATGCTATTTTTCGTAATTATGAATCTATGAGATACTATAATGGTAATTTTTAATTGTAAGAAGCAAGAATAGGTGGCAAAGTTTGTGTATGACATAAAAATTTTGTCAATTTTGCTTTCAAAAGGCCACAGCTAGCGATGGTATGAACGCTGATTGCTCGCTCATCACGTTGCTCATCGTTACAGCTTATCGCTCTTGTGACCCTCTAAAAGTTGAATTGACAGGTTTTATGTGTCATACACACACTTTGTCTGCTCTACTTGCATCTTATAAATAAAAATTATCATAAAAAAAAAAATATTTCATAGGTTAATAAATCCGAAAAATAGCATTTTAGCATAGCATTTTATTGAGCATTTGCAAGCTTGATTGGAAGGACTCTTTTTGAAATTTTGGTCAACCTTATATGATGAGAGAATATCTGAAAGACTTCGTTTGATTTTTTGATCAGATGAGAAGGTCTTCAGAATATTTTGGAGTTTTAAGGTCATCTGTCTTCAATATTGGTGGGTTGCAAATTTATGGAATTTCTCAACTCAAAACTCAAAACTTAATTTATCGTCGGTCTATGCAATCTAGTGCCAATCACCGACGGATATCCATTGCTGTCAATGGATGGCAATCGAATGTACAGATAGGCATGTTCCACACCTGCGTAGGATATCGCACCCATGCAACACACATGGGCCGGGACCAACGGCTTTACTTCGCTTCCGAAGGAAAACTTGACCAGAGATTTTTATGCCTCAGAAAAATCCCACCGACCTCGGCTGGGATTGAACCCCTAGTAAAACTAGTAGAGTATTGCCATTTCAGAGAAACATTTTCATCTGATAACCACTCCATGCCAAATGCTAATTTTGATCGGAATTGGCAATATATGGCACATTTTCCGGCCTCTACATGTCCTTCCCTTAGGGGCTACCCATAAACTACGTATACTGTTTTTGAGAGGCAGTAGACCCCCCTCCCTAACGCATGGTGGCCAGCAAACCGGGAAATCCGGGAATACCGGGAAATATCCGGGAATTTGGAAAGTAACCGGGAAAACCGGGAAAAACCCGTGAATTCTGCAAGAGAACCGGGAAAATAAATTAACCATATCAGGAACAAATTTTTACATCAGAATTTCAGAATAAACCATTAAAACAGAGTGATCCTTTAGCAAATGAATGTCTTGCTCTATTTGTTGCATAATTTTCTTCAGTATACCGTCTTATTGTTTTTAGAATTTAATCACTCAGCAATATTGCAAATTGATTTTTGTCGTTTCAATTTCAGATGTAAAGTGCATGGTCCTCTAAAGAAAATATTGAAGATGCTGGAGTTTGGAAACAAATATTTGTAAAAACCGAAACTGAATTATTCTTTTCCGGGGTTTTAATTTTTCGTTGTTCAAAATTTTCATGATGAATTCCAGAATTAACTTGGAATTCTGCTCTGAATTATCTTGAAATTGTTCTGAAATAAACCAGAAAACACTCCGCGTAATAATTACCGTTGAATTCTTTTAGGAATTTTCTTCCAACCCCTTCTAAGAATTTATTGGAATCCTTCATATAATTCCCGTTCCCGCCTATCCGGAGACTTTGATTTCTTTAAAAATCTTTTCAAACATTTCTTTTAACTCTATTCAAAACAAAAGAAATCTTTCGAAAATTAATTTATAAACCCCTTGGAGTATTTTAAAGAATTTCTTTCTAATTATCAGCAAATTTTTTGGAATCAATTTTGTTTGGGTTATGCGATGAATCATTCGCACTAGGGTTGAAATTATTGCCAGAACATTTTAAGAACTCTGTTTCTTGTTGAATTCCGATCATAATTCTCTTGGAATTCTTCTTAAAATTCATCTGTCATGTTCCTCACGATGCCCATACAAATCTCATCAGAACCACGTAGGAATTTTCTGCAATGTTTTATTTTTATTTTCACAATTCTTTTTTAAATCTACTAAAATTACCTAACAGTATAATTTAGAAGTTGCATTCTTCTCCAAAGAAATCCTTCCAAATTCATCTAACAATTTCTATGGTTTTCATAAATAATTCTAAGAATAATTCTGGAAATCTGCTCTTCTCCTTCGAAAACTGTGTGGGAATCCTTCTCAATATTTGTTTTTAATCAACACTTTGAATTCTTTTAAATTTTACTAAAAATTCCAGGGTTTGTCCGCCAGATTCTACAGATTGCTATGTAATTTGTTATTACCCTTAAAATGCTTCCAAGTCTCAGAGCGTGACAATTATGACTCCACGACTCATAAGTATGATGTTTTTTTTTTTTTTTTTTTATAAATCTGTGATCTTGAAAAAAATTCAAAATTTCACATTTTAATTATTGTTTCTCCAAATCTTGCATCACGAAGCATGTTATTAATCACAAATTTTGAAGAAAAGTTCTAGTTTCAGACTCTACACAAATTTCAAAGCTCCAGAATCTTGGGAATCTTCTTAAATCACATTTTTCTATCCTATCAGTAAATTTTGTTTTTTTTTTGTTGCATATTAACAACCGGGAATTTTTAAGATTTGAACCGGGAAAACCGGGAAAAAACCGGGATTTTCAAAATGAAAATTCACTGGCCACCCTGCTAACGCTGCGTAGACAATCGCCCCTACACATTTTTGGAGATGTTTATGGACTGTCGACACTCGCCTTTTTAAGGTCCATGTTCCAATCACAACATTAAAGTGAAAACCTTATGGATGTACTGACCGATGGAAGCATAATATTCAAGGGCGTAGCCAGAATTCGAGCTAGGTAGGGGCGAAAAAATACTAAGCAGAATTTGGCCGAATGCCATTTCCCCGAAAGCCTTGGTGTTGCTGAGTTTAGGGGGCAGTCGCCCCCTCCTGCCCCAATATGGCTACGCCTATGATAATATTGTATATATGTGTCCATAAAACATGGGACAATTATGCGTCCACTGGCAGTGTAATACAATTCAAAGCATTTCAAGTTATGTTTCGTGATGTGGCAATTTTCACGGGAGTTCCGGTTCATCCGGAAGGCCAGTGTGTTGTGGGATCTTTTTCATATTTTAAATTTTTACATTGCCCATGGTATGCTGATTTTAAAAATCGTAGAACTCCATTTTTTTCATTCTTCGATTTCACG